GGACACACAGGAGCCACTTGCGCGTCTCAGTTGCGTACAGGAGTTTCGCGACCATCCGCCGAGACAGTCACCCAGATTTCTTCAAGTTTCTTACCGTAACACACACTTGGGTAAGCACACTTTCTTTTTTTTCCAATATTTCTATTTGTTTTCCGTCAAAACAGTAAACATAAAAGCATGCACCACAACATAGAGTTGTTACAGCATAAAAAGTAGCATGCGACAGTATGTACAGAAGTTTTGCAAAACAGTAAGAGGATGTTTTGGTTGATTACAGACACAATGATCGAGTCTATCAGACATCGCATGCAGCGTTCATAGACCAGTTACTTTGACAATAAATACTTTTGTTTGCGACTATAGCTGTTCTATAATATTTGAAGGTTACGCATCATTTGTCCTTTTTCATTTACGTTCTTATATTTCTTCACATCTCTCAATCCTCAGACTATTCCAAAGCAACCCTTCATCAAAATTATACGTAACGAATTGAAACGTAAATATCAAATCTAAACACCCAACCTGAATTATTTTTGGTACAAAATTTATAGCCTGGCATAAGATTGCAAGTTAAAATAATCATGTTCCAATTATAACTTACGTGTATCATAAAACATTCATCCTTTACATAAAGTGAGTATCACATTTGATACTTGCATTGAGCTTAAAATTAAAGTAACATTTTTTAAAAAAATTTAATATCATAGTCTTCAAATTATAATTGATTATGAAATTGATAACTTACTAACAAATGCATTTCTTATCAATTAACATCCAACATGGCGTTTACCTGATGACTTGGGGCCGCCCTGTTCCTGTACGCAATTGATACCAGCGCAAATGATACGTACGCAAGCCTCTTGAAGGGGCGTCCGCTGTTCTTGGGCCGACGTTGGTCGAATCCGAGCCAGTGTTTGAGGCTTCCATCATTGGCAGTACACAAATGCAAATGTACTTTTTACTGTGAGTGTACCAAGTTTCAAATACCATTTCGGGAATCTGTCAAGTAAGTGCAGTATTTAAATTCGAGCAAAAGTGTCTGTCTGTGTGTAAGCCCTGGAAGATGTATCACTTGCAACAATACATTTTGCAATTTAGTGACATTATACTCTTGGTACATTCATATTAATAGGTACCTTTACCCCATGCTGCGTTTTGGTCACGGGCGTCGTTAGGAAGTGTTATTTTTGCAGGAAAGGAAGGTCTTGTTTTTCCGTTGAATCCACATTCTGCTACTGGATGCAACACTTGTTGATGTGGCGGTACTATTCAGTCAAAATGTATAGTATCTTCACCACACAAAACACCATCTTATGATCAAATGTAGAATTCCTTTAGCTTCATGGCACATCTGCATAGAATGCACGAGCTAAACACATTCACATCTATACTGTAGAGAACTCACTTATTCCACACAATTGAGTTGAGTAACAGAATCAGGATTAATTTTCTAAACAACACTAAAATATGACATTAATAAACGTAATATGTTATAGTTATACGTCATCAAAATGCAGGTTGCAGATGCCTTCCATAAGATTAGCATTGAAAATCAAATTATTACAATTATATTTACCACAAAGATGCTTATAAAGCAATATTTTATCAATAAATTATCGATAAAGAAATAAATAACAATGACCGTACTATAATGAAATATTACTCTTTGTGCTATAATGAATAAAAACAAGGAACGTATACAGAAGTCACGTAACTAAAATCTTAACTCGAATCAGTACACGATCTTTACTGCTGCAAGAGGCAAGCCTGCTAAACCACGAGTCTTTTTGTTAATACCATGTCCACCAGTCTCAAGTTACTTGCACAGAAGTCCAGAAATATGTTAGCGTGAAAAAAGTTCAAATTAATAAATTCATGGTCTATCCGTAAAGGAGGGAGAGTTCCTTTAACTTTGCAAGTAAATTCTCTTCCACGATCTTATCTCATGAAAAGTTAATGATACTGTAATCATAGGTAAAAGCAATAATTATAAGTGGAACCAAATTACAAGTAACGAACTGACATAAAAAGATTTAGTTTATATAATATACAAGACATTTATACAACTTACTTTTCGAAATTTCGTTTTCTCGTTAACCTCAGTTTCCCGGACAACTGTGCTAGTACTCTGTTCACTAACTTTATTTGCCACGCGCATTGCGCACGGAAAAACTTCCTTTAGCGTTTCAACCATGAAGATTTGCATCCATCCAGCAGACACGCAATTGCAAGCCGGCAGCCACATCTTCCGACTGCGGTGACCAGTGGCCGTCGGCTGTGGACGCTCCCCGCGCCAAGAGCAGGGACGACGCCGGCGCAGAGGGCTACCCAGCCACACAGAGCTCCAGAGCGCTTGAGTCCCGGCAGCAAGATGTGTGTGGCAGAGCTCACAACCGCCAAGTCGCTTTGGCCCCCTGCTGCTGCATTCCACTGCCGTAGTCTCTTTGATTACGGCAAGAAGCAAATTCGGGTGCGCCGTGATCTGTTGACTGGCACACATTAAAACTGCTAAGTAGAATAAAGTTCGATCGCAGAAGTGTTCGAGTTTGAGACATAATGTCCGTTACTTATATTCTTACATGGATACACGTTAACTGTGACGACGTACATGATGACGTTTTAATCAGGTACGTACATCATAAGCCATTCTTTTTGTCTCGAAATTATGGTTTTCCAATTAAACTTTGTGACATGGAAAACCCACTTCTTCATAAAGTCACTGCTGCAAGTATATTCACCAACAGAATGAACAAATGAGAATGTCTTTGGAAGTTATCCTAGCTGTATTCATCGCGTCTAGCGCAGCGCGATTCAGTGGAAAGTAATTCACAGGAGGATATAATTTAAGTCTGTTATTCGGCGAATTTTGAGAGCTCTTGTGAATGAGGACCCAAAGGGGACTCGGGCATTCTTAAGTCATTTCAACAATCTCTTCAGGAGCTCTTGGGTCAATATTTAATTACTCTAGCACAAGTGCATCTCTCATGTTAGCCATTAGGGAGTACATTGAACGGCTAACTGAGAAATATAACCTGTTCGAACTATAAAGTCATCAATAAATAAATCACTTCAGAACCTACAGAAAATGTTCGCAAAAATGATATTGATCCCTCACAGCTCCAAACCAGAATGAAGAGGAGCGAAATTCTGTTCAAGCAACAGTCGCATACAGTTCATTAAGGACAACCTGTACCCTCATTTATGCATTAACACCCATCGTCAATTGATCAATGATTTTTGTACACTAATTTTCCTAAAGAGGTATCTAAACACGATAAAACGGTAATTCTGGTTGCAAAAGGTATACTAATTCAATTACCTCACATTCATCGTGTTTTAGTCCAGTAACCGTGTTATACTTAGATCAAATGCTAGGATGGTCCCGTGTCTGGACAATAAAGTACTTTTTGATCTTCAGAATCTCACACGCGTTTCTCCTTTTAATGATATGAACAAATACATAAGGGATGCGCTGGAAAAATTGCTCATTTATTTCACATGAATACACGTGTGACTAACCACTTCAGACCCAACGATAACTCTTATTTTATGGCTCACTTTCTGTGCTTGAACAGCGACTACGCTCCCGAAGAGAGAATCAAGTAAGCCCGAGACCCCAGAGCGGAGCACCTGTGGGCATATGTGAGTATGTGTCAGTGTGCACGAGGAATGATTGAGCGCTGCTTGCGTGGGCGTGTAGGAACGTCAAAATAGAATTGATGACTTGCTGCGTTCCTTAAAACGCAAACCACGCTCAATGGGGTCAGCCAATGTTCTGCCTCTGTAGAGGAAGTGGCAAAGGTGGATCGTGCAATTGCACGCGAAAATGTGTGGTGTGTCACGGTTGCAAAATAAACAAAAAATTCAGTCGATCTAACTTCGACTGTAAAGACTAATCGTCAGGCCGTAGTAATAGAGAGTTCACAAAACACCGGGCATATGATCCGGGAAAGTGACTCTTTCTCTTTGTAAATATATAATATATGAAGGACAAAAATATAGCACATATTGTGCAAAATGTGATAGCTAATCATAAATATCAGTCCCTACTGTGGGGGGACAATCGGTCACTTTTCTAGTATGGTGCAACATCTGCCTGCACCTGGTTGCATTGTAACTGGATTCGTTCCGCAATTTGTAAGCCGGCATGGATTGAAGAAGAAGAATGATGTTTCCTTCTTTTCGGAATGAGGTAGAAAGACGATTGTGGAGTGAATGGGAAGCAAAACTATAGGGTGAAATTCGGAGCGGTAGAAGCGGAAGTCATATTGACAAGATCTTCCCTAACAGTGAGTCAAAGAAACCATGCATTATAAGGACGAACAATATCATAAGCATTGCTTGTACTAATCTGTATAAAGAAAAATGAAGAAAGTGGCAAGATGAAAAGAATTTCTCAATTCAAGCTATTAGAGGTTGGATTTCTTCACGAAAAAATTAGGTACTGTGGAACTCTGAAGTAAGGAGTTTTGATGTGCAGTCTGACTCCAAGGAAATGGAGAACGACAACATGTAGAAACGAAAGAACGGTTTGGACACGTGAATGTGTTGAATATAGTTAACTTATCAACAACGACGAGATGCAAAAAACGTTGAAAGAAGCTGATTTGTCTTCAGTTACACAGAAGCACAAACTGTAGCTGGTGGAATCATTTCGAGGGAACAGGAATATTCCAGAGCAACAGGAACGAAAGATGATCGATGGCGAAAGGTACACAAGCAATCAATACTTCAGCACAGAGTGTGGTAAGCAGTCGTGGCTAGTTAAGGTTCATTAAAACGAGGACTCGTAGTAGAAGCAGTACCAGCAAAAGGGGTAGCAAAGCGGGGAGATAGAAAGGTGTAGGAATCGACTGTAGACGACGAAGACGGCGAAGAGAAAGGCGAGGATGAAGAGGAGAAGGAGAGGGAAGAGATGGAGCAGGCGAAGAAGGGTGAGCAGAAGAGGGGGGAGGAGGAGAGATGCGGTCAGCGGAGAGGGTGGGGGAGGGGAAGGGCGAAGGGAGAGGGCGGCCGGCTCATGGTCAAGTCCGTGCACGGCGGCGGCCGCGCCGAGTCTTGACGCTGGCAGTCAATCAGGAACCCAGGTACATGCAGTCAGTGTGACCTTTCAGGTAGATGGCAGGGATCAATTCTTCTCCTGGCATCACCGCAGCAAGGCGCCATTTGTCGCGAATCTGCAACAGATGATGAAGAGTAATTAGAGTTGAGACAAAAACAGTACCTCAAACACGAATCCTTAATTATTTTCAAAAACAACAAACTCTATAATTGACGTACAATAATAATAGTAATAATAATAGTAAAAATAATAATAGTAATAATAATAATAATAATAATAATAATAATAATAATAATAATAATAAGAAGAAGAA